ATAAAAAGGCTGACTACTGATTGCTGAGCGAATAACTGATAGGGTGGTGCGGATAGTAGTACTGGGGCATAGTTTTTGACAGTTGATTATCCCACTTCTCTTTTAGTATCTCCTCCAGATTTATAGGCAGGAACTGATTCAAAATCATACGCTAAAGACTCTACGCCAAATTGCTATATCCTTTAGTCTGAACTCTACCTGAGTTAAAGACCACCCTTCCAACCAGTTACTCTTCAGCTACATCCACAATGTATCCTGACCCACCCGTTAGCATAATTGACCATTTAACATATCCCTGAAACCTGATGTGACATGTTTGAGGTCACACCCTGTGAAGTCAACTTATGAACTACCTCGCCATCATGCAGACAGTTGTGTTAACTAGACTGGCCACCGCATATACAACCACGTACCAGTGTGCCTTTAAGTGAGAGACTTTATGCCTGCCCGACACCAGGTGTTAAGATGATGTTATAAATAGGGATCATGTCAGGGGATGATTGGCATAACCTGGGGAAGTCCGTGAGAGGCATGTGTTTCACACGGAGATATGGTGAACCGACAGTAACGAGTGTGTCACGTGTGGAATGAGAGAGATCATGGGGGAATTGAGAGATCAGCGGGATTCGGTGACTGGGCCCCAGAGAGAAAGGCATGGAAAATGAAGCTGTGAAGATTGAAATGTGAGAGATGATAGAGCAATGTGATTTGAAATCGGCGAGGAATGAATGATCGAGAAGGCCAGCTGTGAATGGTGCCCTGTTTGATTGTCAAAGCCAGCTGTTGAATATGTCAACGTCTATTGTCCGAATGCGTGTAAGTGGATTCACCTGTGATTTGTTGTATTGAGCTAACGTGTAATATAAACCTCCGTGAAATGTGCCGCTGGTGTTTAACCGTTGTTAGGACGTTGTGTGACCATGAAGCAGGATCATGTCTGTCGTTGATTGAGTTTGTGAACCTCTAGATATTAGATGCCAGTGTTAACTTCTGCACCACGATAGTCAGTGTGGATGAGACACATAAGGGCAGTCATTACATGGGGACCCGTCCTAAAGTGGCGAATACATTGGTAGTTATAATAATAACGAAGTTACAGTGCAGGCATGTTTATAACTATGGCCAGTACATTAGACGTAGTGGTTTTTGTGGACAGGATAAAATTTAGGCTAAACTACCGGCACCGTAAGTTTTGAGTGACTATGTGTGTTGGAAGATGGAGTTTAAAGAAATGTCGGGGTATTATGTAAAGACCAGGACATGCTGTCACGGGCAATTAAAGTAAAAACCGGGACAACTGAATTCCAGACTCTAGGTCATTCCTGAAACAAACGAAGCTAGCCTGAGAAAAATGGGCAAGAAACACGGCGGAAGCAATGCTGGGTATTGTATTCAACTTCACGTGTGCATGCGGAAAAATTGTACACGTTTCCAATCCCGCGGGAACGCTTGTTCGTCGTCTTCGCTGGAAGAGACTGTGAGCTGCACTTTTGACACCTTGTGGTGTGTAATCCACGACGGAAAATTGTCAGTCAACGGTATTCCCTGTGACCTGTTTGTTTGACGTTGGGTTTTGGTTCGTCCCAACAAGAGGTACATACACCAGAGATAGCGAATTTTCGGACTAGATTTTCACCGCAAGAACACTGTCATGGCCGGGGCCCAAGACGGCACTCAGTTACAGCGGAGGCCAGGGTCATCAACAACGGGTCACGTACAACACAGTATCATATAAAACGTCATCAGCGGCAGCTAACGTCGAGGCAACCGTACAGCATCAAAAACGGCCAGCCACAAGTGAATGCCTCATGTTATAGACTACTTGTCAATACAAAAGAACTGGGTCAAGTTCAGTACCAGCAGTAGTAACTTTTAACTACTAAATGTTTTTGTAATACGTCCGTTATAGGTGGAGTTCGTGTGTATTGTGTAGACAAGGAAGGAGTGGTGTTTATTAACATTTAATTCGTCACGAATGTTTACAAGTTGTAATGGATTAGACAGGAACAACAGTGATTAATGTGATAGACTAATGAACTATTTCAGATTGTAGAAATAGAACTACATACATTCTGTTGTAAGAAAAGAATTGTAGTGAGAATCTAACATTTATCAACAGTTTGTGGTGACAATTAGTGAAAATTAATATGCGCTAACTGTGAACATTTAGTGATCTGTGCAAACTGATCAACTTCATGGTATAAAGACTTTTGTACGTATTTGAATTATTGAATGAGCATAAACTAATAATAGTCTTTTAAGATCATCTGCAGACTTAGACCACGACAGAAGACAAGAGCAGTGTCCTACAAAAGATCAGAAAGAAGCGTGTCCAGAGACAGTAAAGACGTGCAGTGGAGCATCAAGGGCCACAAATTTAATCCAGTCCATTCCAACAGCAGAAGAGCAAGGGAGCCATCACCAGGACCAGGAAAAAGAATCAACTCATTTCTTGTTATATGTTTTTTTTTGTTTGTAATTTTTTCAGGTTCTTTGGATTGTGATATTCTTCTATTATTCTATTTAAGTAAAATAGATTATTTTTGTTTATTTATTATTGAGTATACAAATTTGTCAGGGGATATAATTAAATTAAAATCTCAATTATTTAGTTAAAGAAGGGTTTAAATTAAATAATACGGATTTATCTTAAATTTAAACAGTTTCAAAAGTAATAAGTTACAATTCAGTTTTTTAAAATGTCAACCTAGCAGAATACATAATCTGGGAAACATTTAGGGCTATCAGGAGAGGAATTGAGAAAAATTCTGTGAAGGAAGAGAACAGGAAGATAAAGAAGCACAAAGGGTTCAACAACAATTGGATCGTGAAGAAGGGGCCGCAGCACGCGCCCACGAAGCAGCATGAAACAGCAAGAGGCAGAATTGAGAGAGAAACAATTACAAACATGAAGCAGAAGCACGTGCCCACGAAGCAGCAATGAAACAGCAAGAGGCAGAATTGGAGAGAAACAATTACAACAGGAAGCAGAAGCACGCGCCCACGAGGCAGCATGAAAGATAAGCTATTACAACAAGAAGCAGAACTGAAAAATAAACAGTTACAACTGAAGCAGCAATGAAACAACAGCAATAGACCATGAGAAAAGAAATCAAATTTGCAAGAGTTAAAAACTTGAACAAGAGCGGTTGACAGCACAAATAGAGGCAGACAGACAAAAGGTTGAAGCACAAATAAGAACAAAAGAAATGGATAATGAATCCAAAGCAGAACTGGCAGCACAAAGGGAAAAAGCTAAAGAAGAAGAACATAAATTTACAAAATAACAAAGGATTAATAAAGAATTTTGGTGAAAAGGATGACATTGGATCATGGATTTCAGCATTTTTACTACAAGTTCGTTTTTCATAAAATTCCAAAAGAAGATTGGGCAATACTGTTCCAAGACACCTTGGAGGAGAACCGTTTAAAATACTGGAGACAGTGCCAGAAAATTTACGACTTGATTTGATTATATTAAAGACCGGATAATGAAGACACTATGACCTACAAGAAGCAGGATACAGATTGCAATTTATTGATTTAAAACCAAAATCAACTCAAACATTTGTTGATTATATGTCCGAAGTTCAGACAACTTTTTCAGAAATGGGTAGATTCAGCCAAAATTAACAACGACTATGATCTGTTAGTTGATTTACTATTAAGAAGTAAATTGGCTAGAATCATTACCAAAACCTATGACCACATTTCTGAAGGACACAAACCTACTTCGTTTTAAAACATCTTGAACAACTAGGAGAAAATTATTATGCAGCACATCGTGATATTTTTTCTCATACCACAAAACACTGATATATACTCAGGAGCCAGTGCCTCGAAGGACAAAAGTCATATGAAACAGGATATAATAGATCAGCATATCCGTCCAGAAGAAGATTTAATGGAGGAAGGAAATAACAATAATAGATTGTGACATTTGCAAAAAAAGGACACGGTAATGAAACCATATGCGACGCCAATCAATTGTATGAACAAAAAGTCAGAAAGAAAATTGAAAACAGGAGGAAAAAAGGTAAAGAGATATGATAGTACAAGTAAATGCTGGGCTTGTGGATTCTACGGGCACACGCGTCAATTTTGTAAATATAAGAAAGAATTTAAAAGCAGCAGCAGTTTGTGAAACATCAGACTCCGAGTCAGAAAGTGATATATCAGAAACAATGCAGCAGTGCTACTAGAAGAAGACAAATGCACAATATGTGAAACGTTTTCAAGAATATGGAGACTTACCGTGTGGGACATAAGATACCGGTGCATAATGCAAATTCTGTGAAGGACTGTGGGAAATTAAACCTACATAAAGGAATAGTTTGTGTAATCGAATCGTCTCAATTTTAAGAGATACAGGGGCGACGATCTCAGGTATACATAAGTCATTAGTGAAACCAGAGGATATGACTGATGAAGTGGTTAGATGCAGAACATTCGGAGGTAGGATAGAAAAATTCAGAATAGCATCAGTATGGGTCAAAACGCCTTATACCACTAAGAAGATGGACATGGCTGTATTAAGTTCACCGTGTGCAGAACTTATCATTGGTAACCAACCAGGGCTGAAAGAGATGACAGATCATGAAATAAAACAGTGGGAGAAAGAAAACATACCTGAGATGACAGAAGAGGTGAGGCTAACCACGCAGAGACAAGAGACAAATGCAATCATGGAAGATAAAAGTGACAGTGTAAATCTGCAGGAAATAGAAAACGTTGCAGCAGTCACAAGAAGTGTAACAAAAAAGCAACAAACTCAAGAGCATTCCATAAGCATGCACAAAGAACAAATACCAATAACTACGGCAGATGAAAATACTAGGAAAATTTTTTACCAGGAACAGAAAAATGATTTAACTCTAACACAATGCTTTGAAGCAACAAAACGAGAACCGAGAAAAACAAAAAATGCAGAATGGAAGTTCAAAGTAGACAAGGGAATTTTATCGAGAATTTATTCAAAAAGAGGACGCATCACAAAACAAACAGTACTACCACTGAAATTCCGAGAAAAAGCTATATCATTGGCTCATGACTCCATATTTTCAGGACATATGGGAGTTACAAAAACTAAATCAAGACTATTATCATCATTCTTTTGGCCGGGATATTCAAAGGATATCAAATCATACGTCCAATCATGTGATATCTGCCTACGAACGTCAAAAAAAGGTGAGACACCAAAGGCGCCAGTCCAAAGCGGACAGCTAGCTTCACGCCCATTTCAAGAAGTGGCAGTAGATATAATAGGCCCATTATCAGTAGTTTCTGCTAAAGGTAACAGATATATCTTTACGCTTATTGATCTTGCCAGTCGATGGCCTGAGGCTTGGCCACTAAGAACAATTACTGCTGAAGATATCCAAGAAGTGTTGCTACAGATATTTTCACGAATTGGATTTCCCGAAGTGATAATATCGGACAGGGGAACGCAATTCACATCAGTGGTAACGAGACTAGAGACTAGAAAAGATAAACAAGCGTGAAGTTGTCTTCACCAATTATTACATCGCCATATAGCCCTGATCTGATGAAGTGAAACCAGTCTGTGGTCACACATCGATTTCAAATTCAGATCACACATATCGGATTCTAGTGATCTTAAATCTTGGATTGGAGTAGCAATTATCATGCCTGGCAAGTTCCTGCGTTATGGATCTGTGTTTTACTTTCACCTTTTATTGGGTCTTGTTCAGAGGCCACCAGAGCATAACTAATTAAGCATTTCCAGTTTCTAATAACTCACTTCTATAGGCCCCTCCTCCTTTTAATTGTTTCTTCAAGTAGTTTCAACAAAAGCCACGAACTCCAATAGAGAACGTGACAGAAATGGCCGGTACAGACTAATACACAGCTGCAACTTCTTGAGACATCTCGAGATCGAGCATCAGTATAAAATGATAGACATAACAGAGACACTGGATTTACCAGCTGCAGCTAAATTATGCAATATTTATGTTCTAGTGAGTCAGAATGCTCTTTTATATATATAAACTTATCTCAAAAATAATGTTTTTGCCAAAAGAAAAATCACACAAACAAACCAGAAACACAAGCTATTGTTTTCAACAGTTCAGTAATCACTAGTAAAGCGTCTACTTGATAGTAGATTAGATTAGTGTTACTCAACCTGCCTCTACACTTGAAGCCAGACAAAACAGGGACAATTGTTTCGCGTCTAACCTGAATGCTAACCAAACACAGAAACACAAACATATGCAGACAGCAGTTTATTTGTTAAATCCATGTCACAGCAATAAAGCACCTGATTTTGATGGAATTGCAACTGAAGTTATAAAAGAAGGTGGTCAAGCATTACGTGTACAGATATATGATATGAAATAATCAAACTATTTTTGAAGACGTAGAAACTACCCCATGAATGGAAAGTGTCTTGATTAATACATATTTAAAAAAAAAAAGAGAGACAAGTATAAATGTGAAAATTATTGAGAAATATAAATATTATCTACAAGCTATAAGATACTATCGGCGGTACTGCTAAACCGGCTAAAACCGTACGTCGAAGACATATTGGGAGGTTCCCGACAGCGGGTTCCCGACAAAACAGATCAACGATACATCTAGAAATTCATATTACAGCAAATAGAAGAGCAAAATTTGGAATATTGATGAGATGTACACAATGTTTTGTGGATTTTAAACAGGCTTATGCTAGTGTAACTAGAAACAGTTTATGGAATGCTACTAAGGACTTTTGAATACCGAAGAAGTTAATCACCGTGACCAATCTTTGTATGACAGACATAATATAGTAATATATAAAGGCAGAAGGTCAGACCCTTTTCAAATATAATCTCGTTTAAAGCAAGATGATGCTCTCTCCCACATCTTTTCAACTTGGCTCCAGAGAAAATTATAAGAAAATTGAAACAAGAGTGTACTGTAGGAGAATCTACAAGAATATTTTGATATGCTTTGATATCGTTATATAAAATAAACTAGATTCTGTTAAAACACTGACTCTCTTAAAGAATCAGCTCATAAAATGGGACTAGTTATCAATCAAAATAAGACAAAATATATGATAATAACTACACGGAGAAAGGATATAAACTCCGGACACATACATGTACTGTGGCAACTATATCCCCTGTTGACACACAAACAGATACCCAGGAGTACTAAAAGGAATCTTGTCATAACAATTTTTTTTTTTTTGGCTAGCACTATGCTATCAGTGCCAAACGTGGACACTTACATCTTTTAATGAAAGTAAAATTGTGACAACAGAGATACACATGTCTTAGAAGAGCTGCCGGAGTTTCAAGGAAACACAGAATACGAAATCAGACGAATGCTAGGAAACGGTAGGTAGGTAGGTTGTACCCCACCAGGACATAACGCAAGCGATAAACACGCGGTGACACAAAGTGCCACCATGCTGGCGAGGATCACACGTGGAGAGGTCCCGGAAACCCCGTTCAACCGTTAGGCCATATTTAAAGCCAGGCTATATTTAGGGCCCCAGGCAAAAGCCAGGCTATATTTAGGGCCCCCTTCAAAAGCCAGGCTATATTTAGGGCCCCCGGCAAAAGCCAGCATAGGGCTTCAAAAGCACTAAAAATGGCATCCCACATGGGGACGTCGATAACTAATATCAGGAGTAAAGCCAGTCTTAGAGGTCATCAAAGAACAACAAATAACATGGTTTAGACACCTAACAAGACTGCCCTGGTACTATCTATCACAGCGAGCCACACTAAAACGTTACAACGGGTATAGAGCAAGGGGAAGACCTCGTAAAACATGGAGTGATGGCATGAAGAACAACTTTACAAAAAAAACGTATGCATCTTCTTCTTTTTCCTTTCTACTCATAGAATGCCTCGTAGCGTTAGGAAAGAAAACAGAACTTTGGAACGGGCCCTTCTGTTCGCATTGCATAAAGTACATTTTAGTGTCTGACATTTTTGCGGTTCATCTTCTGCGCGGTCGACCTATGGCTCCGATATCACTGTATCTGTATAACATTGCTCTCTGTGGTGCCCTGTCTGATGCCAGTGTGTGTGAGTGGTTGTGTGTTTGTATATATATATATATATATATATATATATATATATATATATATATATATATATATATATATATTACTGATTCCAGGGCAGCTGATATAAAAAGGGGCTCTGTAAAAGCACTGCCAAAAATGATCTCTTAACACTAAACTGTTTTCGTTAAACGACTTCAAATCTCCTACCTAGGTCGTTAAACCGGATTTGACACTAGAGGTAAACGCTGTAGGTCGGGGTGTTATTCTGTTTTTCTTTTACAGGAGCCCGGGATATTTACCCGCTCTTGAAATACTCAATAGCCGTATTCTGTAATCAATAACTCAAATATAAAGTGTCCTTTCAAGTGTGCCCTAAGATTGTCGAGTTAGTGAAGGCTTCATGTAGCGATCCCAGGCACAGACAAGCGGACAGCAGACAAATATGTCAGACTTACATATTCTACTTTTAGAGTGCCATCATCTTCCAGACTTATGTATAATCTTAACCTGGATGTGTATAACGTAAATATTGTGTCGTCAAAACGTGTATCATATATAGTCTAGATATTATCTGTATATATTCTAACATCTCATTACATCTCATTATAGTCTAGCTTAGAATGGTGTTTGGTCTAAAGACGTAGTGTTTACAATGTAGCCGTGAGCTGTGCTCTAAACAAGGATTGTCTATAGCCTATTCATGCATTGTGTATAGTTTCAACAACATATTATCTATAGTCTAGTCATCAGTTATGTATATTAGAGCTACAAAGTGTCTATAGTCTATAGTGTAGCCAAGATTGATTCAGTCTCTGTGGGGATCCTGTCATTGTGATCCAGTCATCAGTTGTATAGCCTTTTTTGGCAATCTTTAAAGTAGCCGGAAACGGTGAAACATCTCATACTGTCTATCATAGTGTAGCCATGAACTGTAAAATATTCTAACTACGGATTATGCAGACTCGTTACGTATAAAGTACAATCCAATTAGGGACTGAGTATCGCATCCTCACAAAACAAGGATTAAGTAGAATCGATACTAAGATTATGTACACGTCTTCTTCTTCTTCTTCTTCTTCTTCTTCTTCTTCTTCTTCTTCTTCTTCTTCTTCTTCTTCTTCTTCTTCTTCTTCTTCTTCTTCTTCTTCTTCTTCTTCTTCTTCTTCTTCTTCTTCTTCTTCTTCTTCTTCTTCTTCTTCTTCTTTCTTCTTCTTTCTTCTTCTTCTTCGTCTTCTTCTTCTTCTCTTCTTCTTTCTTCTTCTTCTTCTTCTTCTTCTTCTTCTTCTCTTCTTCTTCTTCTTCTTCTTCTTCTTCTTCTTCTCTTCTTCTTCTTTCTTCTTCTTCTTCTTCTTCTTCTTCCTCTTCTTCTTCTTCTTCCGCATTTTTAACAGCCAATGAAGCATAGGCCTCCAACATGCTCACGTCAAATCGTTCTATCCTTTGCTATCGCAGCTCTTCCCCTGTCCTCCCCATCAATTTAACTTGGCTCTCTAGCTCCCTTATCCATCTTCCTACATTCTACACCGTTTTAACATTTCAAATGCCTATTCTGGAGATTTTCCGAGGTGAGAAAAGGTACGTCGACTATCCGGATTATTTTGGATTTTTTTCCACACCGTGTCATACTTCTTCTACTAGAAAAACCTCCCCTCATCTTGGTTGGCTGAGTTGTCTTGTTTCTCTTTGTTGTCTTGTCCATGGTTGGTTGGTTTTTGTGGCTATTGCTTTTTACAGGATGGGGTAGCCAAAATCAAGCCGAAACCTACCCTTAGTCGCCTTTTACGACATGACTGGTAGGGTGCAGTGTCACTATTCTTTGTTTTCCGTGTCAGCCCCGGTGACAAACGGGCGACACTTGAGTTTAAGGTTTTCCATTGTTCACCCACTGATTATGTACAATTTAAACTCTGTAGAATCACAGTTATCATTATGCATAAAGCAGTATTCTTCCGGAAAAATAGGAGGAAGGGGGCATAGATGTGATAACATTAGTCTGTTGAGAAAGTTGTCCGTATTTATCCTAAAAAGCGGCAGGTCCTACTTATTTTAAGTTGGGTTCAGGACTGCGTCAGATCAAACACTTTTCGCGGTAATGTGATTGCTTATGAGGATCCAAAGTAAGTAGGCTTGGATCAGGACCATTAGTGACCCGTCTATCTGTTCGTAAGTTGAAGAGTGATGATGCTGATTCTGTACGTGGTAAGTTGTTTATCTCAGAGTGGTATACCCACACACCCCCCCCCCCCAATCCAAACACTGAGGTCACTATGATCTATTGTACTCCTGATTGATCCGTCCATGGGCATTGCAGAGAAGATCACTAGTACATATACTGTCATGTAGCAAACTGCAGTGTGTTGTTGCAGTGTGTTGTTGCAGTGTGTTGTTGCAGTGTATTGTTGCAATATGTTGTTGCAGTGTGTTGTTGCAGTGTGTTGTTGCAGTGTGTTGTTGCAGTGTATTGTTGCAATGTGT